CCCCCCCCCCCCCCTCAGTATTACATTTTTTCATGTTTCGTCAAAATCTTGCTTGGGTATACCCGGCGAAACTCAGGTTAATAAATTAACTTTCTATCAAATGTAACTCACTTCGTAATTGTACCATCGATGTCAGATATAATTATCTTGTCGTTATAATCATAAAGAAATATTGATGCTGAACAGCTCGCTGTGCCCTGTAGGACCGGAAGAAGAAATTGAAAATAAATTAAATTTAACAAAACATAAAATGAATATATTATTTTACACATGAATGCAATTGGTACAATTTATTTACCTGATATTTCGTTGTAACGGAAAAAGTTACTTCGTTCGCACCATCTTTGAGATTAAGGCTTGCCTAAGAACAATATTTAAAATTTATATTTATTAATAATATTTTTTATTAAATGTTAAAATAGGGTAAGAGGCCAGTTGACGAGCTCTAACCACAAGTTCACGTTTTTATATATAGGGTATACTGCCACGTTTATGGTATGGGTAAATATCATAGATATCTTATATACACTAGATAGCGCATCTCTTTTAGTAAAATTGAAGCCAAGAATATTCCAGCGGTTACTCCCATTTGAATAGATGGCGGCCACGGTTTGAATACTTTAAAAATGTATTTGGAATAGGGTTAACTTAATATTTAAGTTCCCTGTTTAAGAAATAAAAAATATACGAATCTTCTCTCATTCCATGGGAACGACCTGAGACTGCAATCACGGCTTCAATTTTTGAATTGCAGAATAATTAGATGCACTATCTAGTGTATATAAGATATTTATGGTAAATATCAAGATCTCACTCGATTCAATCAGGGCTTTCAGAATTATTCTGTGTAGGTGTCTGTTTTGATAAAGTAGGCAGCTGTCGGGAGAGGGCGGACCTGGGCGGTTTAGGGAGTCTTGCACCCGTCTTCTAATAGCTCACTCACACTCACACTCACACTCAATGAGTGGGAGTTCAATCTGAGCTTCTCTCGTGTGTCATTAGCTGAAGGGTTAGTGTCTTACCTTGCTATGTGACTACTCACCCTCATTGACACTCAAGAGAAGATTGAACTTCCACTCATTGAGTCTGAGTGAGCTTTTAGAATACGGGCGTTAAAGTCATCCAAATCAACCACATGCAATGCATATTGATTAGATGGCAACACAACTGAGCTCTGTAACCAAATTTTAATGTATCACTACTTTCATTCTTCAATCCGGCAGATATAGGAACATACCAATTGTTCAGACGACAGCTCTAAAACTTTCTTATAAGTTTCAATTGTGGTAGTTTCAGATGACGTCATAACCAGTTCGATCTCAGCGTTACTCTCAGGAATCTCTTGTAGAGGTTCGGGCGTCTCCTCGCGAGGCAGGTTATCTGTTTCATCTAAATTTTCATTCACCCATTGCTTACGTTCTGCCTCTTGAATGTCCTCGTCCGTACTTTCGTTCTAGAAATAAAATATTTAATAATTATAGTTTTATGGGTTGAACTGGTATGAAACTCAATTATTCAAGTCTGTTTGGAGAGAAAGAATTCGTTAAACTATGAAATAAGTTATTTCACAACTTTTCTTTGCCTCTTGTCATTTTGAAATATGTTAGTTTGCGTTTAATATGCAAATGAATAAATTTATGACGCCACAAGCTGGAAAAAGATTTTCAAGGATGGCAGTCACACCACAGTCATAGAGCTCACTGTTCAAAATAGATGAGATCATTCAGTGAGATCTTATCAATGATTCAATGGATGGTTCCAGCTATAGACGACATTTTGATCTAGACAATTAGAAGAATGAAATCCACTACCATAGCTGGAAAGAGCATCTTAAAATGAGTAAAATTACAAAGTTTGGTTGCGAAATGTTGTAAAGTCAGGAAAATATAGCTATGTGAAGTTCGCAAATTTTGTATGTATATTTGCATTACACACGGGTAAAATATCCATTTTTTAGTTTGGTTATTTTTACCGCGCGTAATACAAATATATACACAATTTGCGAACTTCACAGGGCTATATTTTCTTCATTTTACAACAATTCGCAACCAAACTTTGCAGTTTTACTCATTCTAGGATGCTCTTTCTGGGTGTGGTGTTGGAGTTCGTTCTTTTTATCCAAATCAAAATTTCGCCCATAGCTGGAATAACCCATTGAATAATCTGGCATACAAAATTTTAGATTTTTAGAGTCCTGTGAACTGTCAACCTAGCTTGATCTAGCTTCTGACGTCACCTTACTTACATATCAAATAAACCAAGATATCTTCTAACCAAAGAAAGATAAAACAAGTTTGTAAGATGACTTAAAATATTCTACAGTTGGAGTTATTTCAGTCTAAATATATTTAAATGGACCTTTCCCCTTATAACCAAAACTTCGATCTAGACAAAAATTTCATCGCAGCTTGAAAGAGCATCACAAAATTAGTAATATTCCAAAGTTTTGTTGCGAAATGTTGTAAAATGCGGATAATATAGCCTTGCGAAGTTTGCAATTTTCAGTCATTTTGTATTACAAACGGGAAATTGACATCCGATTCGGGTGTTGGGGCTGCAATTTCCCGTTTGTAATGCAAAATGACTAAAAATTGCAAACTTTGCAAGGCTCTATTTTCCTCATTTTACAACATTTCGCAACGAAACTTTGGAATATTACTAATTTTGTGATGCTCTTTCAAGCTGTGATGAAATATTTGTCTAGACTTGCCTAGATCAAAATTTTGGTTATAAGGGGAAAGGTCTATTGTGTTGCCCGTACTCTTTAAAAACATAAAAAAACCTTCAAATAAACTAACATGTTCTGGCGGCGGCGATCTCCATGATGAAAACCACGACGAATATCCACGACGCTTCGACTTCTTCGGCATATGTTCCTTCATCAACGCATCAACAGAAATCTAGACAGCAAAATATACTTATTTAATACTCGTACTTTCTTGTGCTGTCAAAAAATCAATCAAATTTACCTTGGGTAGAGGTCTTTGATAGACCATAAATGAAATAAGCATGGGCATGGCCACACTCCAGTTGTAATATCTAAAAAATAGATCGTTTAAAAATTACACTGTGTCGACCACCTTGCCAAGGGACTTCGTTTCATAAACACATACTAAATAATTGAATAGATTGTAGTGGGAACCAACCTCACAGCTACGGATTATGGCTAAAGCAAGGCATTTTTTAATACCATGGACTGGTGGGGCATTTGCCCCAATGGGCCCCTTCCTCTGCCCCACCACTGAAGAAAAAAAATGGCCTATTGCTCCAAAGCCGAGGCCCTAGGACCTGCATGCATTAAGTGAATGCGTTTAACATTGAAAAGAAGTTTAAAAAACAACATTTGTTGGTGAGCATACTTAAATTTGAATGTTTAGCATGCAATTTATTACACTGAAATTTCACAATTAAAACTTTATTTTGAGAAGCTGAGATTTTGTAAAAAACGTGTTCTTCAAATGCAGAAAATGCTATTTTAGAGACCGAAATTTCTTTGGGGGTGCCCCCAGAACCTTGTTTTCGCCCCCCAGTACCATATAGCCACGGACTTTCGTATATGTATAACACTATATGTATATGAGTGTGCTCAAGAGCGAACAGGATTTTGCTAGGTATACGAGTTTGGGCCTAGAAAGTATGCCTGTTTTCGCCTGCCAAGCGGGATTGCGGGAACCTGTTTTAAATGGAATAACTCAGAGTGGTACGGTCTAGGTTACCTGTCGTCAATGCGAACAACCAATTTGGGATTCGACAAAATTTGAGTTGGTTCCTTTGCAAAATCTTCGAAACTCACTGAGGATTCCATAAAACGTTCTAGAACGAAAATAAATCTTTGGTTGATTTTAATTGGAACCATAAATATATATTCTTTATTACAGGTCGTATCGAGCCACAGTTACAAACTATTTTTCTTAGAGGGTCTAGTGTTACTACTGGAGGAAAACTGTATCTGTTTCGTCAATACTACTCCACGTAACGTAGCTCACATTCAAGAACATGTACTACCTCTCCATAATCCAAGCACACTTAACTCAGCAGTGAGTTATGTACAACATCAGATCACTTTCAAGACAGCCCACATTCAAGCAAGCCCACATCCAAGAACATGTACTACCTCTGCATGATCTAACCATGCTTAACTTAGCAACGAGTTCTGTACAACATCGTGTGGTGGCCCACATTCGAGAACATATACTACCTCTGCATGATCTAACTGTGCTTAAACACACTCTAACTAAGCTAAGCCTAAGGATACTTTTCCTCGCCAAATATCATCGTATAATTATATTGTAATGTTAGTGCATTGATAATTATTATCACTAAACTAACTTTATTGATGTTAGATAGCTCTATCAGTTCTAAACTGTTCTCTTAGAGGACAGGTCCAGCAACGATCAACCCTCATTGATCCAGTGTTACTACAGCGGTAAAAAAGTGGCCGGAGAAGACATATGGTCTTTGGTACAGCCAAACTGGAAGCATTTTTATCATACAGGGCTGAGCCGAAATCATTATCAAACAGTTGAGCAATGAGCATTGCGGTAGACGAACGTCAGTGGCAGAGTTGATATGCATAACGCACTAACCAAAACCCACTAAACCAGCTAGTATGCCAGCAATCTCCCGAACCAACTAAAACAATGACATACATGCAGTAACTTACCTAAGGAAACTTTGCCTCGCCTAATATCACCACATAATGATATTGCAATATCAGTATATTGATCATTCTCATCGAGCTTCGATTCATCCGGCGAGACAGATACTGAAGATCCTAGACCCGACTCTCCATCGCTTCTGTTGATCTCTGAGTCACTCTTAATTCCATCGATTATATCATTCCTAACGACGACATTCTCCCGATTATCAAATTCCGAGCTTCTCTCATAACTATTACTCAGTTCAGAGTCACTTTTGATACTATCAATATTAGTTTTAATATTCTCATCCGTGATTTTGGAATTTGACTTTTCAACTTTCGACAGATGCGATTCACTCCTCGTAGTTCGGACATCATTTTTGTTGTTTGTATTCTTTTTGCTTGAAGTCGAAGGTGGTTCATTGGACCTATAAAATATACATATTAAACTTCGAGATTATGGGTATCTCATCCGATAGAATTAATAGTGGATGGGGTTTTTAGTTTGTCTCATTCAAAAGAACTCTTAAAATTATATACTAAACTCTATTACCGATTTGTCATATCTTGTTTAGTTCTCGAAATATTTGGACCGAAATTAATGAGCTGCCCGCCATCTTAGACTAATTCTTGACCTCATTAACTATGGTTTTGATGACGTCAGGAGTTCGGTTAACCATATAAAACTACTTTAAAATGACCGAAATGTTTTGAAATGTTTTTAATCATTTCTAAATTTCAGACCGCAACCAGAAACGAAGTTTTGGACCCAATATTGTTCGCTTACTCTCAAGATAAAAATTTAGCGTGACTCTTGACGTAACACGCATATATCCTCAATAATCCAAGATGGCGAACAGCTCATTTTTTTCAGTCGAAATATTTGGAAAACTAAGCAAGATATAAAAATCTGTAATGTAGAGTTTAATATATAGTATTAAGAATTTTTTCAAATGAACTAAACTAATGTCACTAATTTTTTTCGAACGTCCTTTAATGTCTCATAAGGAAGATTGTTCCTTAATCCCTTAGTACGACCTCGTTGGCATTGTAGCCAGAAGTCGTTCTTCGGCTTAGGAAGTGCTGAATCAGTTTCTCTATTTCTCAGATTGCATGTCGTGTCAGGTTACATGTTTCATATGCAGTGCAGTTTAAATCAATCAGCTAAATTAATAAGAACCTGGTAGTCTGTTGAAGATAAAGGTTCGCAACTTCTTCGTCAACCGAAAGTAAGTCCTCCAATAACATTCCTTCACCAATATCCGGCTGTAAAAATATATATTCTCGTCAACAAAAATCATAAAGGTCACACAAACAGCTATTAATATCTATCACAAATTAGTGAAACAATTGTACCTTGGGCTTGGATGTTTTGTTAGACGACTTGATCCATGATTTTTTAGCTTCCTTTTTGAGTTCTGAATAAAATGCAAGAAATCGTTTGGTACAGAGTGCAAACGATAATTTATAAAATTGGGTCAGTTAAAAAGTCCCAAATATAAAATACCTGATATTGGTTTTCTTTCAGTGGTGTTCCCTTCCAATCCCTGAAAGTATAAACGTTGTTGAAAAGTACCGTATAAACGATCCAATAAGAGCCTAAATATTCACAGGGAGTCTTGACAAGCGAGTTCCCTTGACAAGTTCTGTTGCGAGTTTGTCGGTTAACAGAGACAAATCTGAGCCCGAGTCAAATGTCCGAGTCACGGTTTAGTGGTCTTTGTAATGTAGTTCAATGACTTAGTACCCAAACCCTATTCCTAACCCTAACCCCACACCTAACGTACGCTAACCCTATTCGACTGTGAATTTTATTCAATTTGGAGTTTGTCGGTTAATTAATCGAATCAAGTCCGAGTAACACTTGTCAAGTTTTCTTTGGCAGTCGTTTTGGTTGCGAAATGTTGTAAAATACGGAAAATATAGCCTTGCAAAGCTTGCAAATTTTGTATACTTTTGTATTGCGTGTGGAAATTGCTACCATTTTCGGCCCAAATGTGGTAGCAATTTCCGCACGCAATACAAAAGTATACAAAATTTGCGAACTTTGCAAGGCTATATTTTCCGCATTTTACAACATTTCGCAACCAAACTTTGCAATTTTACTCATTTTAGTATATGCTCTTGCTAGCTGTGGTGATTTATTTGCATCTTCTTGCCTAGTTTAAAAATTAGTCTATAATGGGAATTGTCTATTGTCAAAGAAACCTATAGTCATCACAACTACTTTAAATACGGTAGGTTGGTCTGCTACTGTCTGCTGGTATCAGCTAGTTTCCTATACATCCATTCTTTCAACTTTAATATGCATGCATGGTTTTACCTGTGGTAATCTTCCCCAGTTCCAAGTCGCGTGATTAGTGCCAACATTCTTCAAGTTCCCTTGCTCACTCTGGTAGTTCACTTCAGTATCACTTGAGTATCTTTGCGGACTGGGTGGCTGAGTATTCGATGGACTACAAAATACATAATGACTTAAGGCTGGTATAGTGAAATTTCTGTGATTATACAAACGAAATTTTGCTTCGGAAATTTATAAGGATTTGTAAGGGTAAGATTTGTATTACCTTTGCTGTTCTGGTGTGTTGATAGGACTGTCAAGGTCTGAGAATGGATAAAACTCGTTCAAAGTGTGGTGAGAGGTCTAGATAAAATATTAAAAAATAGAATTGCAGAAAGTAGGAATAATTAAGACACTAGAAAAAGTCCAAAGAAAAGGCGCAAGATTGTGCTTGCAGAACTATGCTCCACTTGCCAGCGTTACAGGTATGTTGGACACACTTGGATGGAAGACATTAGAAGAGAGGAGGGTGGAATCAAGATTAACAATGATGTACAAGATAAGTCATAACCTTGTAGATTTTAACACCGATCAGTATTTGAAATTACACCCAGAATCTAGAACCGTGTGGCAGCCACCCATTGAAATACCAAATTCCTAAGGCAACTAAAGACGTTTTTAAATATTCATATATTTCCCAAGAACTATCAGAGAACGGAATAAGCTACAACCTGAACTAGTCCTCTCAAGTTCATTAGGCGAATTCAAAACGAAATTATATGTATTGACATTGTTCATATTTTAATTAGTTTATTTATATACTGTAGTTTTCAAAGTTGGTGTGATCTTGCAGAAGTTTACCGACATAATAAATTGAGATTGAGATTAAAGAAAGAAGTGAAATAGGAAACACAATTTTCATACATGGTTACTTCTCTTTCCAGGAACAAAAATATTTGCTGATCTTTTCACAAAACTAGCTTGATCCATGTCATCATTTGATTTAGTGTCAGATTCTCCAATGCTTTCATTGTCGTTGTCACTGTCCAAATTTAAATGCTTTGAACCGCTTGCCTTGTTGGGAAAACTCTCTTGGGTATCGCTGTCAAATGAGTTTTGTTCATTTTCCTGCAAATACAATGGCAAAACATCTAAATAAATCAACTTATACATTAACCACCAATACCTCCATATTTATCACAATGGAATCATGCATGCTTCAGCCTGTACAAGCAAGTTTTAAAGAGTAAAAAACAAATGCTGGCCGGATTGGCTGTGAAAAAAGTCGTTGTACTGTCTGGCGACAATCATGGGCGTACCGGAAGGAAAAAATTAGGGGGGCGGAAAGAAAATTGCCAGACTTTTCGTAAAATTGCCCGACTTTTCGTGATTGTGCCCGACTAGTACCAAAAAATTTTTCCCGGAAAATTTATTTTGGCGACCTCCCCCCCCCCCCCCCCCCC